ACAAGTGGGCAAAACTCTACTCAGCCCAAGGGACCATGGATAAGATGATTTTCGCATTGTAAGTAAAAATGATAAAAATAATGAATAGACTTCTGGTTTCAGCTCCAACATATAAAGAACTTGAAGTCCTCACTCCAGTCCTTACAAGAAGAAAAAGCTGAACAAACTGAAATTAATGACTTATCTAGGACCCATTGGTAAACTGATGTCACAGGGCAAGCCTCCACCATAAAATCTGGAGAGAGAATCAGATCTAGAGTCACAGCTGAAATCTGTGCACCTGCAGCAGTAGCCACTGGAGCCACAAACTGGTAGGAACACTTAAATGGTCATTTTGACAAACTGCCAGGAGCTGTGCACGGACCAGCCTGAGAGAGAGAGCCACAGTCTTAGGAAACACCCGATGTTCTGAGCTTTCCTTTCAGGAACCCCATCAGGTTCTCACATGAAGAGCCAATAAAGACCCCCTCATGGCTCTGCCAGGGGGAGGGGGAGAATAACTATCTGACATACACTCAGAAACTTCATAACAAAGTCTGTTCTCCAAGGGAAGAGACTTCACCAGAGTCTTACCCCACCTGGAGAATAAAGGTTTCTCTGACTCCAGCCACTGCAGTCCTCCTAGCTCACCAAGGTGTGGCTATTTGGGGGTGGGGGGCAGGGCATGAAACAGGGGAGAGGGCAAAACTGCTTTCTCTTGAAATCTCTCTCTCTTTCTTAAAAAACTTTCATACTCTGAGTAACTCCTTGACTCGGAAAGTTTACATTGTAGGGCAGGGAGATGATAAGGGGAAAAGAGCACTAGATTACAATCCCATTTTTGCTCAAGGAGAGTTCTATTATTATTTAACCATTTCTCAGGGTAAGCTTTACTTATGAAATAGTCTTTCTTGAAGTTTTAACGTTGCATCTCTTTTAACAACATTTTCTTGTGCTCACCCTTTCTTGTGCATAAATGTTAATTTTTTCTTTTGAATTGGGCAAACATTCCTACAATCTCTGCTCTTTATCTTCAGCTAGAGAATTTTTGCCCATTCCTATATGCCAGAGTTTCCATGATCCTCTTAGCTCTAAATGGTGTCTGTGCAAACGTTACGTACCAATTATTCTACTTTAATTAACTGCATGCATTTGCATGACCCTCAGAATGAGTGTCTCCAAAAGACCTCCATCAACGGACCTCCATCATCCTCCATCAATGGACCTCCATCCGAATGTCTGCTGCTGTCTGTCATCAACACCATTTCTACCTGTCATCGGTCACATCTTCATTGCTCTCTCTGTTGTTGTCCCTTTAGTTTATTTGCTCCAATCTTTTTTTTATCTAGTAAAAGAACTAAAAGACCAAAAACTGGCTTCTCTAAGCAGGAAACACCTTTCCCTCAGCAAGGTGATCCTCATTCTCCAGGTAGGATCCTTGGCTCTTCTTAGCTGTATTTACCATTCCAGGGCACAAAAAAGCTGCTCCTTCAGTTGACTGGCTTTCTGGAGGTGACCACATTGAGTTCCAGCCATTCTAGAAGGCAGAGGTTTCTGGAAGTCTGTCTGTAGAATTAACAACACCTCTTTGTGGCTTCTCCCTCTACTGTGACCAACAAGGCACCCACAGATACTACCTTATAACTAAGCCACTTGACCTGCTCTGTTTTTATGGAGTGTGTATCAGAGTTTTTATGGCAATTTTTCTGAAAAGCCACAGTAGCTTTTAGATTCTAGGATTATGATTGTCTTGAGTTCTTCCAATTTACATAACTTGCTCTCTAGTAAAATGGCCCTGAATAAAGACCACCAAGTGGCATTTCTGCTGTCCTTACACCTGAGGAGTCTGAGTTCTCAGATGTGAGGCCAAGGACTCGGGGCCTAGAGAGCAGTAGCTCTCAGCAGCAGTAAAGACTGAAAGGAGCTCAGGGATTTGACTTGATGGCTCCCTGAACCACCCAACCATCTTTCACTCTGGTTTTCTTTTCTTTTTTTAAAATTATTTAATTAATTTATAATTTTTGGCTGCATTCGGTCTTCATTGCTGCACGCGGGCTTTCTCTAGTTGCGCTGAGTGGGGGGCTACTCTTTGTTGCAGTGCATGGGCTTCTCATTGCGGTGGCTTCTCTTGTTACGGAGCACAGGCTCTAGGCGCGTGGGCTTCAGTAGTTGTGGCTTGCGGGCTCTAGAGTGCAGGCTCAGAAGTTGCGGCACATAGGCTTAGCTGCTCCGTGGCATGTGGGATCTTCCCGGACCAGGGCTCGAACCCATGTCCCCTACATTGGCAGGTGGATCCTTAACCACTATGCCACCAGGGAAGTCCTCACTCTGGTTTCCAAGAGAGCCAGTACAGACCTCCAGAGGGCATCAGCTACAGTTGGTCCTTCTAGCACATAATTATTTACTAGGAAATGAAAATCTAATAAATAATGCACAGGTGAAGCAGAAACACTTAATTTGCTTTTGGCAGGAAACACCACTGACAGCAAAGTCAAGAAGTAATGAATTATGTTGCATCACCTGAAGACAGAGGATAACTGCAGCCTTCCAAGGACAGATGGTCCTTCACTTCTGAAAAGCATCCCAAGTTTGCTCAGCCACCATCCTTACAGATGCAGCCAATTAGCCAACCCACACTTACTGAGGACCTACTAGGTGTATGGCTCTGCTCTAGGTGCAGTGAAGAACTCAAACACAAAGAGGCAGTCCCGTCAATTTTTCTATCTGCCCTAATTTTAAAGGTATGTGTGAATCTCTTTTTAACTCAACATTCTTGCTCTCCAGCAGCACTCCATGGTAGAACTGAGCAGCTCCAAGGGCCAGGGGACGAAGGGGCAGCTCCCCCCATCCCCCTGGCTGCCTGTCTCAGATGCAGACCACACAACAGTTTATAGATTTGAAAACAGAGGCTAGGGTAGAATAAGAATCTAAGGGATTCACTCTGTAGGTAGCAAGCCAGCTCTTGCTGTTCATCTACCCTCACTTAATTAATTATTTTATTAAAAAAAATATATATAGCACTTAAAATGTGCCAGGTACTGTTTTAAGTGCTTTATAAATATTAACTCATTCAATCCTCACAACAAGCTTGTAAGACAGATATAATTACCCCAATTTTAAGATGAGGACACTGAGGCACAAAGCGGTTAGCTAACCCACCCAAAGTTACAGCTAATATGTGGTAGAGTCACGGCTGGTCTAACATAGTCTAGCCTTAGTCTACACCATTAACCACCGAGCAAAGTATTTAACAAACAGGCTGCGGCATTTATGTGTGTAACATGCCTTCCTGAAGACAGACAAGGTAACTTAACCATGAGCCTCTAGTGTTAAAGTTAAAACAACAACAATAGCAGCAACAACAAAAATATATTCAGAATTTATTAAGAATAAGATATACTTTATAGGCTACATACCACGACATAATTCTAACCTCAAGTTCAAGAGTAATCTTATCTTTCACTACACCAACACCCCTACTGGTCTATATAAATGAAAACTGCTAGAACATTTGCTGAGAGAATCAGCATTTGAATTTTTGCTGTAGTCTTTTCCTAAAATGTGGCCTGGATCTGAAGGGTCAGCTGGGGAGGAATCAGCACACATAACATCTCCTGTCTCTGGGTACATCAGTGTGCCTCAAAAGCTTTCTGCGAGGGACCACTTACCAGATAGCCCAAAACACCTCTCCCAAGGCGGGCATATCTGTGCTGTACAAGTCAACAGCCACTAGGCACTTGTGGATGTTTAAATTTAAATTAATTAAATAAAATTAAAAATTCAGTTCCTATGTGGCACTTGCCACATAATAAGTGTTCAACAGCCACATGGGGCTAGTGGCTACCACAGTCGACAGCACAGAGACCATTTCCATCATTACAGAAAGTTCTATTAGACAGCATGAGTTAGATCCTGAGCGTGATTTCTTTTTATGCTTGAGTCTGAATATACTTAGTGGTAATAATTTCATCCTTCCCTTCTTATGAATAAACAAAATACAAATTACACTTCATTTCTTCATAAGTTTTCTACTCCCAAATTCAGCTCTCAGGGGGGCAGTGGATTATTTACAAGCAGGTCAAATAAACTCCTCAGAGTTTATTGTGTTTCTGGTACCTGGTACCCAGTACCTGGTACCCAGAATGTGTTTCTTCTTCCATAACAATGAATGAAACATAAAACTTAGGTGAGGAAGGGGAATTCATTAAAAAGTGTGGCAGAAAAATGTTCTGTTTATAGACTGTGGCTTCATGTGTGATGTTAAGCTCTGAGACACAAACTTGACTGGTCACAAGGAAGTCAGACAGGAGAGGGTGGCTACTCCACACAAACTAATACCTCTATCTGAAAAACAACATGAACACATGCACCACTACACACAATGCGTCAGACACTTTTCCTGGCTTTAAAAAAAAGTGCCCACACAAAAACAGGTCAGTTATACAGTCCTGTGTGGGCCAGAGACAGTGGCACCAAATTTTCCACTGGGAGCAAATATTTTACAACACTTTCTGATTTCTATCATCCTTAACCTGCATTACTAAGATGTCTGATAAATAACACTGCTGTTCCATTTCATGTGTGTTCACATTGTAAAGAAGAAGAAAAGCAACAATAAAACATGAACAACAGCTTAGCAATAAAGCACAAATTCTAGGACACTTCCATAGCTATGGATGCTAAGATCCAAAATTCTAATTCCTCAATCTCAATTCCAGGAAAGCCTGGAAAGACTATGTTTATGACCAGTAGGAACTGCCTTGTTCTAGCATCGATCTTAACATCTAACATCGAGGGTGTTCTAACACCCTATCTACCCCCATTTACTTTTAGTAACACAACTGAATTTTTAATGAAATCCTGTGATATAGAGCTTTCTTTTCAGTTCAGATGAATGGAATGAGCAAGGCTAATAAGAATCATTAATGTCTGGTCATTTTAAGTTGTAAAAATACCTTAAGCTCCTCAGAAGATGCAAAATTTAAAAAAAATGTAATAGTAGTAATAATTAAATTACATACTTGTGACTTCTTGTAAGAAATCCAAACACGGTCGACTACTTCCAGAAATGCTTATTGAAACAGCCAGTGGGGTCTGTCCTTCATAGTTCCTTGTGTTCGTGTCCGCTCCATAATTATATAACATCCGTGCACAAAGCACGTCATCCCTAAGGGCAGACAAATGTAAAGGAGTCTGTCCATCTTCTAAGCGACCCAAGTTTGTGTCTGCTCCTCTCTGAAGGAACATTCGGCAATAAGAGTGATTGCTTTTGATCACAGCGTATCGCAACAGGAAACCGTTCTGAATGTCGATGTTGGCATTGTGGTCCAGGAGGATTTTCACACAGCTTGACCTCTCTCGGATAATGGCGAGCTGAAGCGGTGTTGTACCTTTATCACTGAGCGGGTCGACCTCAGCCTTGAACTCCAGTAGGAGTCGGACAAATGAGTCCCTACCATAGTGAGCAGCCACATGAAGGGGAGTCCAGCCATCATTGCTTTTTGCATTAATAATGTCGCTCCTGTATTCAGATTCTAACATCAGGCGTGCAATCCGAGCCCGGCCATGCATGGCTGCGTAATGAAGTGCAGTGAAGCCTCCGATTAAGTCCTTAACTGTGGGATCAGCTAGAGTTAAAACCAAAATGAAAACATTAGCAGACTCTGAGACAAAGCAACGAACTCTGCCATGGCACAGCACATCTTAGCCAATTCTCAAATAAAATGTGAAATGATTAAACACTATAATGAATATTAAGTCCTTCTTGCCTCAGCTTAATTGAAATACCATTTTAATGGGAAAAAAATTTTAGTAGAAAGTTATCAAACCTCGATTAATAGGATGAGTATATGACTTACAAAGCGTTTAAAAGCTATATACAAAAAACAGAGAGTCCAGATCACCACATCCCCTCTCTTTGCTAATTTCACCAATTGCCCTTGGTTTCCCAACTCCCTCATCTCTGTACTGTTTCATGTTGCTCTTCTGTTTTGAACTTTTTGTTTTATTTTCTCTTCTGCTGCTTCTTGGTCTTAAAAAGAAGCATGTGTAGCAACATCTGCTGCTCTAAATTACGGATGTACTGTGGTCTGGCAGACTGTGTTGTTTTAGGGTGTATTAGGTAAAAATTAAAAAAAAAAAGGTTCTCTGTGATCTGTAAGAATTCCAAAACATGTAAGATATACGTTAAGTGATCTTGATAAATCATGTTTTTATAAGATAAAACTCTATTCTGAATTCTTCGTTTTACAAGAACTTTGGAGTTTTTAAGAATTAAGCAGCACACATTGTGTGAAAAATTGGGAGAAACCTCAGCACTGAATAAATATTATTTTCTAAAACAGTTCCAAACCTCTCTCCTAAATCGACAGATTTCTGGAAGAAAAAAAAGAAATAAAAGAGAAGAAAAGAAACTAAAATGATTTATCTGCTGTGTGACTCCTCAAGTCACAGACTTTTGTCACCTGCCCCCAATCTTTCCTAAAGCTGAGGGTCAGTTCTACACAGCTCTCATCCCACTAGCCTTCCTGGACAAGGGCAGAAAAGGGGCAAGAACCCTCATATGCTATAGGTAGGTCACTTCCTGAAGGCCAGCAATTCTGTGTGAAGATAACTGGTTGGACCTAACTACCAAGGATTAAAATACTTTCTTCTTATAAAAGTCACCATTTATTTTTAGCTTGTTCATGAAAGAGAAAAATTCATAAGTGTTCTTCAAACAAACAAACAAACAAACAAACAAAAAGCCTCCACAGTCATGTGATTAAACACTTGCGTTTTGTTTAGTAAAATGTTGCTTAGTTCTAAAACATTTTATGACAGTTTGGTCTCTTAGAAAAACCTATGAGGCAGAAAACTGTACCTAAAATAGTAATAATACTGTGGAGAATGCAAATTTCAATTAAGAAATAGTTACAACAAAAGCTGTAAAAAGTTAACAGTTTTTAGGTAAGCTATATCAGTTGAATTTCTAAGATTATTTCATATAAACTGATATTACACAACACTAATACGACTTTTATGTGTTTAAAGAAAATGAGGGTATCATATCTGCCTTGGTCTTCACTAAAAGAAAAATAGACAGTACCTATTCACTACTTAATTAAAAAAAAAAAAAAAGGAGCAAGAATATTTAAACAATGCACATTGCTGCCATCTACTGGTAAGGCATGAACATGAGCTACTGTTGCCATTTTGACAGATGATGCTGAGCCCTCAAATCTGTTTTCAGATACCTCACTTACCTAAAGTAGACTAAGACAGGCATGAAATATAAAAGAACCCCTTCTATTCAAATAAAACTGTAAATCTTGCCAAGATGGCCATTCCTAATCTATACCTGACCAATCAACTGCTTCCAGACATTCTCTTTTAATCTGTTAGTGAAATTCAAGAATACCTTTTTTTCACTTCTCCCACCTTTCATCCACCATGGGTGCCTTTAAAGTTGTCAGCAAACAGTCTCATGTGCATCCTATACTCACTTTGTTTGACAGTAAAATTAAAATTATGTTACACAAAATTGCACTTGCATCTTTAGTTTTCCACCTCAGGTCTTTTTTAGATCCTACTTACAACTTGGTGCTATACTGAGCTAGGAAAAACAAAGATTAACAAATACAGCAATGATCTGCTTAGTCTAAGTAAAAACCACTAAAATCCATTAACTGAGCACACGCTGGAAACACAGCACAGAAGGAAGACTGTAGGTTAACAACGTATAAAATCTGTATAGTTACTTTCCTCAAGAAATTACCAAATAGGAAATATAAGACAAAGATGAAAACAAAAATTAATTTAAGGATTATTAGCCAATGCAATAAGATAAGAAAAAGATCTTATTTGTAATAGTAGCAGAAACTACAAAACACCTAGATATAAATTCTGTAAGAAATGTGCAGGGCACATGTGAAGAGACCTTCTTTGACTTAACTGAATTCACTTCATCTGTGTCTGTTCAAATGTTCCTTCAACAGAAAAGCCTTCGCTGAACACTAACATGGTAGCCCCATCACCTCATAACTTTGTCCGCTTTAGCAAGCTTTCTCCCCCCAGGTGCAACCTATTTAATACAAATTGTAGCAGTCTCAAGAAACCCATTTGAAAAGTTTGAAAGTATATATAAATAAAAGCAGACAAACATTCCCTACCAATATGGTTCTTTCTTTCCAACAGCTTTATTTACTGAGGTGCAATAAAACTGAACCATTTTAAGTATACAGGTTGATGAACTCTGACGAATTGTATACAGTCATGTGACTACCACTACAATCAAAATATTCCCATCATCTCAAAAAGTTCCTTCCTGCCTCTTTATAGACAATTTCCTGCCCAGACTCTGGACCCCAGGCAACCACTAATGTTTTGTCTTTCTATAATTTGATATAAGTGGAATCATAGAGTATTAGGCTTTTGTATTTGACTTATTTCACTTATCATAAGGTTTTTGAAATTCATACATGTTGTTGTTGTTCATCAAAAGTTCGTCCCTTTGCAGCTCGGTGCTTTGTGACCGCCTGGAGGGGTGGGATAGGGAGGGTGGGAGGGAGGGAGATGCAAGAGGGAAGAGATATGGGAACATATGTATATATATAACTGATTCACTTTGTTATAAAGCAGAAACTAACACACCATTGTAAAGCAATTATACTCCAATAAAGATGTAAAAAAAAAATTTCGTCCCTTTGTATTGCTGAACAGTATTCCATAATATGGATATATAGTTATTTATTTATATAGTCAGTAGCAAATGGATAAATGGGTTATTCCTAGGCTATAATGAATAAGGCTACTGTGAACATTCATATACAAGTCTGTTTGTGGATATATGTTTTCAGTTCACTTGGGTAAATACCTAGGAGAGAACTGCTGGGTCATATGTTAAATGTAATGTACATTTAACCTCCTAAGAAAGGGCCAAACTGTTTTGCTAAGTGACTATACAATATTACACTCCCACCAGCAATGTATGAGAGTTCCTAATGTTCTACATGTTCACCAATACTTGGCATTATTAGTAATTTTATCAATTCTATTGAGTATAAAGTGGTAACATATTGGGATTTTAATATACATTACCCTGATGACTACTGATACTGGGCTTATTCTGATACTGGGCTTATTCATATACTTTCTTTTGTGAAGTGTCTGTTGAAATCATTTACCCATTTTTACTGTGTAGTTGCTCTCATTATTGAGTTTAAAACTCAATTGTGTATATATTCTGGATACAAGCCCTTTTGTCAGATATGTTTTGTATTTTCTCCTAGTCTATGGCTTACCTTTTCATTTCCTATACTGTGTCTTTTGAAGAGCAAAAGTTTTGAATTTTGATGAAATCTACTGTCATTTGTTTTCTTCTATGGTTTGTGCTTTTTGTGTCCTGTTTAAGAAATCTTTGCTCAACACGATGTCACATAGGTTTTGTTTTCTTCTAGAAGTTTTATACTTTTAACTCTTATATTTAGGGCAAGGGTCCATTCCTAGCTGATTTCTGTGTACAGCGTAAGATCAGACCAAGGTTTATTATTCTCCATATAAATATCTATTTAATCCAGCACAATTTGTTTAAAAAACTACCTTTTCCTCAATGATTTATCCTGGTGCCTTTGCCACAAAACAATTCACCATACAAGTGTGGATCTATTTCTGAACTCTATTCTGTTCCACTGATCTAAAAGTGTATCCATATACCAGTACCAGATTGTCTTGATTACTGCAGCTTTATAGTAAGTTTTGATAGCAGGTAACATTCTCAAACCTTCTTTAAACTGTTTTGGGCAATAAATTTTAGAATCAACCTACCAATTTCTTCAAACAAGCCTGTTACAATGTTGATTGGAACTCTATCAACTCTAAAAATGTAAATCTACCCCAAATTATCTAAATAATATTTATTCTTCCAAACCATGAGCACAGAATACCTCTCTATTTATTTAGGTCTTCTTTAATTTCCCTCAGCAATATTTTGTACTTTTCAGCATACAAATACTGCACATCTTTCATTACATTTATTACTAAACTTTGTTGCTATCATAATGAATTGTTTTTACATTTCATTTTCTAAATGTTAATTACTGGTATAGAGAAATAAAATTGATTTTTGTATACCAACTTGTGTATTCTGTAATCTAGCTAAATTCACTTTTTAGTTCTAGAATTTTTTTGAGATTTCTTACGATTTTCTAAACATACAATTATGTTCTCTGCAAATAAAGACAGCTTTACTTCTTCCTTTCCAATCCCAGGACCCTTATTTGAAAAATAAAATGTTGACAAAATGTAGTAAAAGCATATACCCTTGCCATGTTCCTAATCTCAGAGGGAAAGAATTCAGCAGTTCACAGTTTACTATGATGTTAAGTTGTAGTTTTTCACAGGTGTCTTTCCTTAGGGTTTGGAAGTTGTCTTCTGCTTTTGGCTTGCTGAGAGTCTTTATGATGAATGGGTATACTATACTGTCACATGCATTTTCTGCATCTATTGATAGGATCATTTGGTATTTACTTTTATTCTATTAATAGGGTAAATTACTCATCATATTTTCAGATGTTAAACAAAGCTTGCATTCCTGGGATAAACACTACTTGGTCATGATGTAATATTCTTTTTTATATAATGATGGATG